CTAATAAATACACTCGAATTGCTTTTTCTCTTTGGACACAGGTTTTACTGAATCAAGCTCTTATTTAGAACACACAAGCGTGTCAATGATAAACATGCCGGATGAGGGTGAGAGCATCGTCTGTGATGCTGAAGTTGGGTTTCTGAGTAATCTCCTTGGCAGTACATGCTGCTGCCCCTGTATGGGTAGACATTCACTGTTCGAAGCAACAAGCCCTTTGATACTTGGAAATTTGGGATTCTGTTCTATTTTTAAAAGCAACTATATCAGTATTCATCAACTGTTTGACATAGCCATTCATTTATTTTCAAAAAGGCTATTCTATAACCACACTTCCTCTCAGGAAGCCCACCAACTAAGTGGAAGCTCAAATGACTGATAGCAGTTACACAGGGCCCTTCCTGTTGGTTAAGAAGCAGGATTAATTAAACTAATGTGCTAAATCTCAGGCTAATAACTATGCAGAAAAGCAAAAGAAAGCTTATTTTATGTCTTCCTAATGGCGAGGCACCTTTAATATGAAAATAAGAAAGTTCATTCTAGAAAAACATGTGCTTATTTGTAATTCAAATAAAGCAGATTCAATTATTCTCTAATTGTAAGAAATGCTGTCAATTTATATTGTAAGAAATAATTATTCAAAAACATTGATCATTTATCAAAATAACTGAGACACTCAAATAATTCACCTTGTGATAGATCACTAATAAGGAAGCCACTAAGTATAACTTCAAAATGCCTCACAATAAAAGATCTGTGTCTAGGAAATAAATCTAATTTCCCACCAAATATTGGTATGCTTTTTAAATTATATTAAGATGAATAAATGCTTCACAATAATAGCTGAAATTCTTAAGAGCATTCATATGCATTCAAAATCTATTTTCACTATTTTACTGCTATTGGAGCATCAAAATGATTCTACCTCAATATTTTAAAGACCAGCACACAGATAAATTGTCTTTTAAATTTTACCTGTTTTTGTTGAGGCAAATGAAAGGCCACCTGGGTGAAGTACTACAAGCTTTGGTCTCCTGCTATATTTAACAGTGCTTGTATCTCTCTATAATTTCGTGAAGTGTGGTTACTCATCAAGATAAACTTGGATATTTCTTCAACGTGGATCCAAAGAAACAGTTTCTTATAGAGAAGCATTTCACAAATATCTATAGTGACCCAAAAGATTTCTACTGAACAGCAACACTCTGTAGGCAGGGGGAGTGAAGACACCCAGAACATTCTCAAAAGCTATACGGAATTCATACCAGCTAGAGGGCAAGAACATGACTCAAGCACCTTTGTCATCTGAGGCTTGAGCTGTAGAGACCACAGCAACTGTCTTATCTTATAACCTTGATTTGAAACAAAATGAGAAACCTATAAACTCCTGGGGCTGTGAATGTAGTCATAGTTTAAGAAATAAGGTCACTGTTACTATTACAATCTGTCTGGAAACTCTGGAAGTCAAGATATAGGGAAAGTAACTCTTGCTACAGAAAAGTACGAAATGTAGTGTGGAGTGACACTGCCTGTGATGTTCAAGTTTCTACTTGTCATTTACTATGGGTGCCTCATTTTAGCCAATAAAGTAAGTGTTTTAGAGGTTTCTGTGTCATATAGCATAGTATACAAGAGCGTAGTACAGTTTACTAGATTGGACTATTCACCATGAATTCTTGCCTCAGCAATTGCAATGACATGGGAAAATTTTAAACTTTGGAAAAGATGAAAGCAAGAAAATTGACTTTTCATTCATAAATATGCTATGTATCAAATTCTTTCAAACTACAGTTTCTCTACCCTGCATCTTGATCGATCTATCTATCTATCTATCTATCTATATATATATGTAAAAATAAACAGATTTTTCCCTAGTGAATACAGTAGAATCATTAAATGATCTTGATTTTGCTAAACATCTTCCACTGTGTAGAAATTGGGGGATAATCTGAACAACTCATGAGGACCATGGTATATTTAATAACTAATGATGAAAATCCCATTTCTATAAGGAAATCACTATCAAATCATACATTCAGCCACTTGAAAAGGTGACTTTCTAAAAGACAGAGTACATTTGTTAATGCCATTAGTATTTCTTTTGTTTTTACTGTAGAGAAAGCACACATGAAACTGCAGTAAATATAATTAATTCACACATACTATATATTCACTTATATTATAGAAGATGATAGAATAAGTACAGGAAGAAAAATGTATTGTTTACGCCAAACACACTGCTACACTACAGAGAATGCCCAAAAGACAAAATAATGCTAAAAAAACAAACCCAGATAATATGCCATAGACTAAAAATATACTTTGTTTCTGTAGAAGTTGGTAAATTATAAGGGACCCCCTTTTATTATTTATAATATGTGATACTTTCCCCCTCAGATTTATGGAATCTTGTAGTTAATTCAATATCAAGCATTTTGGATCTAAGATTTATTCTATATCTGCATATATCAGCTTCCTGAATATTTCTTGCTCATGCAGAAGAAAAGAAATAGATAAAACTTCTAATAAAACCAGTCTTAATGCTTGACATCAAAAACTTACCAAAAGACATAATGACAAGTAAAATACAGGAAACATTCAGAATAAACTCAGAGAGAAAAAAATTCTGCCAAATGTAAAATAGTAGAATTACTGCTTAAAGCTTTGCTTAAAATAGACTAAGCACATAAAAGACTTCCTTCTCATAGACTCATTTTTAACCATATATTTTCTTTTCAACAATAATTTTCATCTACTTTACATGTTGGAGAGATACTCTGAATAAGGAACAAAATCAAAGGCCACTGAACTTAATAAAACTTCTGAAAGCCTGCACTGGAAAGAGTACAGGTTCTCTTTCTTTCTGAGCTTTTGGCTGCATTTGATTATTTTAAAAATGATTTCATTTCAAATGGGGCGAAATGTACAACAGCCATAACCTACAAATGAGGAGAAATTTAATTCTCATATGCAAAAGCGTGCGCGTGTGAGATTGTGTGAGCCAAGTCAAATCTGATTAGAGTCACATTAACCAATAAACTGGTTTAATCAGCCTCAGCCTGTTTCCATGACCACAGTTATCTTATGCCTTTGTGCATTTATTTAACCACTATGGGAGGCGCCCGCGCTCCTCTGCTACCTATGCAGAGGGTCCTATCCTCTCTGATCTACCCAGAGACAGTGCACCAGCCACCCCTCCTCGCTCCACTGCCTTGCTGCTGCATGCCCCCTCCCACTCCACTCTCATGCACATAAAATATATTCTTTCTTCCCCCTAAAAACAAAACCAAAACGCTTTCTCCTCCTTCCCCTTCCAGCTGCTGCCCACGGCCATCTTTCCTTTCGAGTAAAACTTGCTGAAGTGTCGCCTGGGTTTGGCGTCTTGTCTCCAGGCCTCTCCTTTCCTCCCGTGACACTGCGTTGTCCCTCACCAATTCACCAAAAGTGTTACGCTAAGGTCGCCAGTGATGCCTACACTGTCCTATCTGACGGTCCTCAAGTCTCAGCTCCCTGGCCCCATTAGCGGGATTCCTTCCACTCATCTGTCACGGTCCCCGCTTGAAGCCCCTTCTTCCCTGGGCTTCCAGGATAGCACATTTAGAGGACGGCCTCCCAGCCCTGGGCTGCTCCCTCTAGGTCTTCCGCAATCACCGCTCTGGCGAATCTGCTGTCTAAACAGACCCTGCTTGCTGCTCATCATCCTATTGCTGGGATCTAAGCCCCACTCGTACTTCGCCCCACTCTGTGACCGCTTTATTGTCTGTAATGCGCTCTGCAGCGCTCGTCCTCCCACATTCGATCCTAACACAGACGCCAGACTACTGTGGGAACGGGAGTCAGACGTAGTCATGTGGCTGTTTCAAATGCTCCCACAGTGCAATCTCAGTGCAAGTGCAAGTCCTCATAATGGCAGCGAAGGCCTACGAGAGATGGGGATCACCCCTCTGACCCCATCCCCCAGTGCTCCCACCTTCCTCCTGCTGCTTTACTTACACCAACCTCTGTTGCAGCTCCAACACTCCAGGGTCTTTGTATTTAAGTGACTTCTTGTTTTGGTGGTGTGCTTCTCCTGCAGATATGCTCTTCCCCAGACAGACTGGTCAGCTTCTAACTCAAGCCTTTTCTAGGACCCCTGCTAACATCACATCAGTATCTCCATACCCTTCCTGACTAGAATTTAATTCCATACTCAGTTTTGCGTTTTTCTTAGTACTGCCCAGGAAATTTCCTGATACCTGATAGGCTCTCACAATTATTTTCTACATGAATGAGTTAATTTTTTTTACATATAATATATGTAAAAATATAACATAAATATTATAAATATAATATTTATATTAAATATAAATATAATACATATAATATTGGGTTTTGGTCATTTAATACCTTCTAGGTATTAAATGCGTTTAAGGGACCCTACTTCTACTAACCCTCAGAAATCCATGAAACTATAAAATAATCCGTGATTTAAACACCAGCTGGGTATATGGCCTGCAGGACTAAGACTCAAGCACATCACACTAAACCAACCACCACTGAGCTTCTCTTCTCCTCTATCTCATTTGACCCCAGGGCAAGCCTGTTCTGAAGAGGAAGAGAAGGCTTCAAATTGAGGGTCATCTAAACTGTTCTGGATGAGCCTATACAGTAGCTTATCTGTTGCCTTAATTAGACAGAATTCAATGCTGCAAGCAGCCAGCTCTGAGCCTGTGATGCTTAGCATGAAGGTGTCACTCCATAACGCTTACACATCCTTACTTAATGAGTCTTTTTAATAAAAAAAGTAAGTTTTACTGGGTGTGTGTGTGTGTGTGTGTGTGTGTGTGTGTGTGTCTTTGCTTGCCTTGATGCTAAAGAACTGCTCCATTTTACAATGAACAATTTTTATTAGAGGGTTTACAGAAGATCTTTTCTCATAGTAGTTTTCATTGCAGCTTCTCATCAATAGCATAATGAGCCCTTATAATATCCAACCAAGAAAACAAGCCTCTTGTTCTCACCTGGGGCGGACACGGAGGGCTCAGACTCGTTTCCACTTCCCTCATCGGTACTCGCGTCATAGATGGGGTCGCGGGCAGCTGGGGTTTCAGAGCTGGCTGTAGCTTCCCTAGAGACAAAGAGAAGAATTGCAAATCACTGGCTGACACCTGGTTAGATGTCAGATTGACCCATGATTAGTTATAGAAAAAGTCCTACTCAGATAAACATATAGTGAAATACGTATGATTTAGATGAAGACTTTGAAGACTGTTTATTAACACTCCTAAGAAAAAATTTCTCTTTCATCTAACAATCTGGATGTTGGTTAATGTTCACTATAATTAATTCCGGAATTAGTTTGTATCACTTATTATTTTTATATCGAATATTGATCTACCAGATTGTCTCTGTAGGTCACAAATGTCGGGTATTTTAATAACCCCAAGCCAGTTCTGAGTTTGATTTGACTGTCCCAAAAGGGAGACACAGTTTAAAGGGCTTGTCCAGTGTCACACAGTGATAAACATCAGTACCAGACCAGTACGTGAGCTAGGACCAGGTGACATCAAGCATGTTTCTTAGACTTTGCAATTAGGAAACCTGTACTTCTTCTCAGGTCCAGGGAAACACATTCTAACCTTGTATACTTGCCAATGTCTAAAAACTTAGAAGTAATTGAAGTCACCAGCCACCTGTCACCTATGACTTTTCCTTACAAATCAAGCGCATATCCAGTTTCACAGAAAATTTTTGAGAATGAAGAGTAAGGACCACATTCTCAGCTAACATGAGTAAGGCGCCCTAGAAGTTAATATTTATCACCTGATTCTAGAGTGCACCATGACTTACACATCAGGACTAAAAACGTGCATGGAAATCTTCAGTCTTACAAATGAAAGAATTTTTTAATTAATGCTTCCTTTTTAGTAGTGTCTAAAAATTAATTAAATAGTACTTAGCTAAGTCTCATGCTGGTTCCATAGTTAAGTGTAGGTGAGACAGAGGGCAGACCTGGCACTATCTCCTCAAGCGTTCTCTCTCCCATGCCAACCTTCACTCAGCCCAACCATCAATTCCAGCCCATCAAGTGATCTCATAGCATTAAAAGTTGATACCTTGCTTTCATGAGGTTTTTGAAGAAACTCTACTTAAATTTATGCATCATCCAAAACCATAACACGATACCTTTCACGTTCAATATTCTTTTCCAGTTCTTTAACTTCATTTAGCAATTTATGGAGGCTTCTGATCTTTGATTTCTTCTCATTCAGCACCAGAATAAACCGCTTATACAGATCAGTCTCCAGGCCTTCCTTGGCACTCACACATTTTTCAAATCTAAAAGAATTAAGCAAGTCATTTCATTTTTATGAATATTAATTCTACTCAGTACAATACACAAGATTTCAACAAAATACTTCAAGGAAAATGTAATTAAGATCATTTGTATATATGCTTTAACTGACTTAAAAGTGATAGAGACAGCTAAATAAATCAAAAATTATTGCTTATTAGTATTTGTAATTTATATACTGAGATAAGTATCAAAAATTATCAAAAATTATTGCTTATTAGTATTTGTAATTTATATACTGAGATAAGTATCAAATTTGAAAGTAGTAGAAATAAAACTTTAAAAAATCTAAATGTCTTAACGTAATAATTTATTCACATCTCCGGTTTATATATGAAAAAATGTTTTCATATAAGGAGTTTCAAAAACACAAATACTGCCTGTGGTCTCAGTATGTAATTAATATTACAAAATAGAAACCAGGATTTTGTTTGTGATAAAGTTAAACTGTTTGATTATCCTACTAGACTATCAACTGCTCCACAAGAAGAACATGGCACTCCAAGTTATAATTCTATAACCCAAAACCACATACACACACATATACATAAAAACACATACACTCATATATAATTAAAGTATCCTACTTGGTATTTCCAAGGAGATACTAATAAGAGCAAATGTAGAACAATGTATGTCTTTAATTTCATAAGATAAAATTTTAAAAATTATCTATTATAATTTTTCTGCAATGCTCATCTGAACTAACAGATTATATGGTATTTACTTTAGTCTTCCAAGTGATACATAAGGTAGAAAACATAAACGAGCAGTTGTATATACTTAATGTGTATATACATACGCATACCATAAACAAACTCCTATTGAATAGATTTAAATATAAATTATTTCCTGTCAAATATTCTTTAAAATGTGATCTATTTTCATCTGGTTTTCTTCCTACAGTACTGCTTATTTATGCTGTTTTTTTACATAGGTGTCTGTCTATCTATTCAAACATATACGCCAGTAGCAATATGTATGTACACAAACACATATTGTGTTGACTACTTAGAAACAAAAATGTTAACCTGTGATACTTTTCATACAATACTTTCATGTTTTCTATAACTACCATGGAAGTTTCTGATAGGATGAATAGGAACATGTGACAGTACGCATCTGGAGCCAAGTGCAGCAAACCACTGCAGCCGATGTGCTGCTGAGGCCGCGAGCTCCACAAGAGCAGAGAGCGTGTAGGGTTTTCCTGGCTGCTTTATCCTCAGCGCCTAGCAGCGTCCTTGGTGTTCAACAAATGCCTAGTAGGTATTTACTGGATAAGTAATAAAGCGAGTGAGTTCACATGCACTTATTTTCTCCACCTCACTGCTGACTGATTACATGTCTCTGAGAGAGCAGAACTGTTTTCTTTCCAACACCCTGTTCTGAAGTTTCCTTGACTCCTTTTGCTAGAATGCCATGCGCCAGGCACTGGCTCAGGCCACATATGGACTGGCAGGTGCCTTGCCGTTCACTTCCCCTGAGTGATGACTCTGGCCTTCTCCTTGTGGATGGCCCATATGGGCATTACTGGTCTTGCCAGCTGGGCGGCCAATGTAAGTTCTTCAGTGGCGCAGTGTTCCTGCACAGTGGTCTGCAGGGACTCAGTGGGCTGCTCTCACTTCTTTGGATACCCATGGATACCAGCGGTTGGGGCCACCTTCTTAAGAAGTTGATGTTCGCCACTCTTAATTCTTCCACACCAAAGCCACTGCCGGCGTATGCCATGGTCTGATACTTCCCTGTTGGGCACATTGCTATGGGCTGACGGTTTCCATGGGCAGGAAGTGGAGCCAGACTTTGTGCTCTGGATTGCTGGTCGTTGGACCTGCACATCTTCTTGGCCAGCAGTTTGAACCATGTGGCCTTGTTCCACTGTCAATCCTTGGGGAAGTGGGTCTTAAGGTCATGCCATTCCAGCCAGGCACCATGGCTGCTTATGTCCCTCCCCTGAAGGGAAACAGCTGAGCGAGAAGACTAAGCGGGATATATTACATGGAAATGGAAAGCCAGTGATCCAGAACACAGTCCTATGTCATTTAGCAAAGGGAACGTCTTTTGAGAAATGCATCGTTTAGGCAATTTTGGTTTTGTACAATCACCATATAGAGTATACTGTACAGGTGATGGTGGTGAACCTACGGCACATGTGCTGCAGCTGGCTGTTTCTTATTGAGTGCTCTAGAAGGTTTGCCATCAATGGATATGTCAGTCACTCCACATGGCCACTTCGTGAAATCAAGAGACACTAAATATGAGTCACAGGAGCATGCTGCTGGTGTATCACAGTGTACTGACTCACAGAACCTTCTTGCTTTTAGCAAGCAGGAAATGTATAGAGTAATAAAAGAAGTATAGACTGTGGAGTAAATAAACTAGCAACTTACTTGTTTATTGCCATTATCAAGTATTGTGTGCTTGCTATACATGATTGTCTTATACTTTAAGCAACTCACGAATGTGTTAAGAATACAGTGCATCACCATGCTAGAAGAGCCACATCATTAGGGACTTCCCAGCCTCATTTCAATCCTCATCTCACTTCTTTGGCTACCCATGGATACCAGCGGTTGGGGCCACCTTCTGATGGCTGCAATACCATTATACCCTACATGACTGGACTACATTTTCTGCTCACGTGACACTACTCATAATTGTAACAATAACTGACACTAAAAGTAAGCCCATATATACCTAGAGCAGACTACAGCTAGTCTAAAGATCATCTCCACAGCAAACATCAAACTGGATGAAGCCATAAATAACATGAAACAGGAAAGGCCTGATGATGCTTCGTCCTCTCCTCAGTCACTATGACAACAGCTTAATCAGTAACTTTAGCAGTGAGGTACCAAGAACTTCAGCCAAAAGATAGCAACTTTTAAAAGTAGAGAAAACTAGAAAAACTAAGTAGAGAAAAATAATGAATGTTAATGAAATATTTCAGGGTGACAAAACAATCAAGAAAAACTTCTAAATCAGTAACAAAAAATAAGAGCGAAGACAAAGAAATATCATACAGAAATAAAACCCTCAACAAAATGACACAGTAAATGAAAGCCCAAAATAAAACAAGAGATACATAAATGTGAACATGTGTTACAAAAACAGTGTAGTAATCATGATATTAACAATCACTCCTGGCCAAATTCATATCTAGGTCAGGGCTGTATAGCAGAAGAAAATCTGGGCAGAGTTGAGAAGCCAAAGAATGTCAAAAAGAACTGGAAAAGAAAGCAGTGGTGAAGATTTAATAAGGCTTCAAGCCATGGACAAGATGGTGAACAGCTGTTCCTCATCCTTTCTGATGACAGAACAAGAGGAAATGGCCTTCAACTATGCCACGAAGGATTCAGATTACCAGTAGACGGAAGGGAGGGCTTTCTGGCTGCAAATATTCTTAAACACTGCGAAGCGCTACAAGGAAACATGACGGTAACTCTTGAGTTCCTTAAAAAATCAGATTGAATTCAGCTGGAGATAATATGACTCCATCTAGCAAGCTGAAAGATAAAGTAAAAGAGCTTTCAAGGTCTTCTAATGATTCCCTGAGTACCAACTCAATGCACTGGAAACTGCCTCGAATTATGGGTTTAATAACTATAACTCAGAATAAAGCCAGAGAATTTCTAAACTGAGGTCTGAGAGCAAACAAAAGACCTATTCAGTAACATGGAACTTGAGAGCTGTTATTTGAAATTAAGTGGGAAAACCCAGTGAAATAAATACAGCTAATAACCTGGCTATTCATATACAAGTTCTCTAATGCTTCTTGCTTTGTTTAAAATTGCACAAAATTAATCCAGTAATGCCACTTGTTCAGAATGGAACAAAACCACAGTTACTAAACAGTAACTAACTACAACTAATAGCAAATACACATGTTAAAGTCTGTGCACTAAAGCTCGCTGTTTACTAATCCTATAATCCCTCATCCCCATTCAAGCCTTGTTTGTATCATTCCAAATGGAAATGTCTTTCTAGTTGGCTCTGATCAGAATAGTAACCCATATTCAAATACCAAAGTACATGCAAAAAAAGTCCACAAAATGTAAGGGAAAAAAGTATCCACAACTCCAGAAATACACTACATACACTATTTTACTTCAGTTTCTCCTTCCAGATGCTCTCTTTTTTGTGAATAATGGGGCAGTACTCATATTTTTTGGTAATGGACATGTCTCCCCTTAATGGATTGTATACATTTCTGTTAATGAGCACGTGTGTACGTGAATAGTCTTTGTTAGTATTTACATCCTATTTGGCATTAAATGTATGCCAGAGCCTCAGCTACTAGGGAATTGTGTCCTCTTCGCTCTGTAACACCACGTGGCCTCCCTGTGCAGCTGGAACACTGTTGGGAAGAAGTGACTGATCACGGATGGACCCTGACAGAAAAGTAGTCTGCCCTGAAAACTAAGCTGGGGCGGGGCTTAACATCATGCCCCAAACCTAATGATCCTCAGGTTTCTATGTCCCCCCAACTCACTACACACTTGTCCTACTTCTAAATTCTCTAAAGCAGTGCTGGCGAACCTATGGCACGCGTAGCACCGTGGGCACGCAGAGCACTCTCTGTCGGCACACTAGCCAAGTCACCCCAGCAGCCAAGCGCTCAAGTCTAACTGCAGTGTCGGCACTTCGTGTTTGGGTTGCAGTTTGGACACTCTGTTGCTAAAAGGTTGGCCATGACTGCTCTAAAGACTTGGTCAACACCACTGCCTTATGGAAACTGGAGCTGCACATTCTTTGCTCGTTTTCCAGGACAGTCAGACTTGAGAAAGAGAACACGAGGAAAGTCCTGCTCGGCCATGACCAAGATGGATTTACAGCTCCTTAACGAGGCCACTTTCTGCTCACCAAGGAGAGAAAAGCACATTTGGGAAATACGTAAAACCGCTAATCTAACATCCTACGTACAAACAAGAGCCTGGGATGCTCTGGAGTGGACTCTTTGCTCTGTCTATAGCTTCACCTCAATGTCACGCACCGTCAGATCTGCAGGAGACACTGAGCTAGCACAAAAACTGCCACCGAAGAAGACGGCTGGAACAGCACAGTAAGGGAGGTGACAGGAGGCCTGGCTGTGCTTGGAGCACATAGCAAAGCTAGAGCCACACTGAGACAAAAGCGTTTTCTGGGTAGTTCAGAAAGAGCAAATCAAACATCTGTGCTCCACATAAGCTATGCATCCCTCACAGATGCTGCTTCCCTGCACAGGGTGTCATTGTCTCCCTGTTTCGTCCTTCAACTCCAGGGCAGTGGTGCTGAATACTGATGAGACAATAGCTCTTTCAACCTCTGGCAGACATTTGAAAGCAATTTGCTCAAGTACCAAATACCCCGTCTGCATTTCTGTGGGAAATTTGTGGATCAGATCGCCTATCACCCAGAGGATTCTTTGAGTGATAAATATAAAAATATAATGATTTATCACGACCACAGTGTATCTCCTTTAATTTGATTCATTTCATATATAAAATAGAAAAACACACCCAAACTACAGATATAAGCCTGAAACATGCTTTGTAGCACGTATATTTGATCCAGATTCATATAAAACAGAAGCTAAAGGGAAAAATCTAATTTCTACATGGCATCATAATATATAAACTTTGAAGGGGCCTCATTTTTGTATCATTTACCTATTGCTACATATAACTGAAGATTAATTTAGAGCTAAAAGACAAGATGAATGCTTCCTCATAAAATAAATGAAAACCAAATGTAACCAGATACTAGAAATGAATTTTACATGGTTTGCACTAATTAGGGAATATTACTGAATGTACAGAAAAATAATTACTTATTCTCATTGTGACATACATGCATGAATTGCTGTAAAACTCTTTGCTTTGTTTCACCTGTTTCCTCATTAATGTCCTATGTCGACAGCAGTCACGATGCCTGCCATACAAAGATTCTAAATAAGGTCTGTGTTCTTATGCTTGAGAGCAAACAGCTTAAACAATAGGATAAAAATCTATTGGATGTCATCATTATTACCATTATTACACATATACTACATAATTTTGTCAAGTGTTACTATACACACACAAACATAGCATATCATACGGTCTCTGTTGGGATATAAGAGTTCACAATGTACATTTTATTTCAAGTATCCTTTCCATAATAGAACAATGCAAAGTATACCCTAATGCAGCTGAAAGAATGGTTTATTTGAGAAAGTGCATTTTGAAGAAGCTATGTAGCTTTTTTCTTCATCACTTAAAAAATGAGAGACAAAGCCAGGAGAGTAGTTTAACGCAGCAGCCACAACTACTTTGCCTTTTACGAGTGCTTAGAGTATGAACTTACAATCAATCAGGAAAAATAAATCTCTTGTTAATGCTAAAAGAAACATCAATTGATATAGTTGCCATTCTTAGATTCCGAAACAGAAATCAGTATTTCATAGGTTGTCATATATGTTAAGTACCTACCCTGCATGTCTGCTACAGCCCTAGCATCACTACTTAATTTTTTTATTAATATTACAATAATGGGTTTGGATCCTTAACAACGAGTTACTTATTTTTCATAAATCTGTTAATGCTACCAAATACTAAGAGACCCAAAATTGCTCATACATTCTTATCACATGCAATAGTCACTAATAAGTCGGTTTAATAATATCAAGAAAGGTATAAATAGTAACAACTTTTCTTGTAAACAGAGGCTGGTCCACACGTACCACAGATGTGAAAAGCATTCCCTTAGACCCACGCGATACAGAGTGTGCTCGGGTTCTCGGAACGCGAGCACATGGGTACGCACCGTCCCTGAACGTCATTCCAGTCTCTCAGGAGTCTCTCATTTTCTTTCCGCAGGTGCTCATTATTGGCTTTGTTTTCTGCGATGCTGTCCAGGCAGTAACAAATCAGTTCTCCAATGACCTCAGCTGGGTTCGCAGCTTTCTCTAGGTGGAAGGAACCAAGCCTAAACTGAAATGGAAGGAAAACATGACTGCTTTGAGGATACTATCAGGTTCAGCAGTCTGGCTTTAAACATACCCAATTTATTTTGAAAGGAAAAAAGAGCAAGATTCAAATCAGTACATTTATCACATATTAATTCAGTGAACCGAAAAAAAAAAAAAAAAAAAACAAAGAAACAAAAACTTAGGCTACTTTCTAGTTTCTTAAGTTTCTCATATAAATCAACAAGTAACCTAAAAATAATCTTTACAACTTTTACAAATCTTTATACTTCTTGGTAGAAAAGAAAGCAACAGAAATATCATAGGCGTACTACACCATCTGTTCATGAAAGTCCGATTATAAGTCACTCTGCTCAGAATAAGAAAAGGAATTAGATATGAGGACTTTTAATGCTATGATTCTGTAAACAGTGAACTGGAATTCTTGAAGAAACATCAAAATTCTTATAATAGTTAACAGAAAGATAGTTTTAGAAAACTGAGAAGTCTGCAGACACCACATAGTAATTTAGCCTTCATCCAAAGACTAAAACTAATTATTATAAATTAACAATAATAATGTTAAGTGTCAAGCTTGACTACTTTTACATCAGGATAAGACTTAAAAATATGGTGATTCCTCTACTAGGGGACACTTTCAAATAAAACAGTATAACACAGTTGTCACGGAAGGAAGGGAATATAAGCACTGCTCATTTGGCTGATAAGAATAATGAAATGCAATGATTAATAAGAGCAATTATAAATTTCCTTAATATTAAAATTAGGATTATTAGAACAGGTAAAAAAATAACTATTATTATGTAGCTGTCAGGTCTTGTGAAGTATGTAACCGCAGCGAGGCACAAGCCAAACTCATCTGACGCTCACCAAATCTTCGCCCATGATATGGACAAGTAAACTGAGGCTCAGAGTACGTCTTCTGCCTATTGAAGGGGTAAAGCCAACATGCTACTATGCCATGCTGTTATCCTATTTTCTGTATAAGAAGGCAATCTACCTAGGCACATAGTAAGAGAAAGAATTTGGTTCAGAACCAGTTTATATTTTGAAAGAGATTCTCACGCACCCAATAAGTAGTACAAGAATAAAACCGAGTCTTTTGTTTGTGTTTTGGGGTTTTTGGGTTTTGCCTCCTAGATTACTAATTTCCCTTATGATAGGTACCTACTGTGAATATTTACAAAATATATCACTTTTAACAGTGTTGCTTAAAATGTTAGAGATTGAGAAGTATTTAACAGTGGTTGAATTCTTTTTTTAACATATGAGAAGTTTTGTTAATTTGGTTTTATGTAACAGTATGTCAGAAAAAAATCAAAATTTTAAGGAAGAAACAAAGCTTTAGTATTGAGGACTTTGTGTATAGAAGAAATTCTGTTAAATAGCACTGTATCTTATTGATTCTACTAAAATATTGATCTTGCTAAATAACATTTCTCCATAATACTATGAATGTTGAGCTCCTTTTCATTTTAAAGAGAAAAAAAGATAAACAATGAAACTGAATTTCAAAACAGGCTATTAGGACAGTTACAACAGTTGATACATCGAGTATTGTTGCCTTCAAAGCAGTTAATCAGAATACAAGGTACAGGCATGATATCTTGTCTCTATATTAGAACAAAACTTTCTTTTCAAGGAACTAAGAGAAGAGAGCTGTATAACTATCTTAACTGTCTCATGTATACATACATTTTTTTTCCTTTTCTTTCTTCTTTTCCCTGTCCCCCATCATAGTTTATCTTTTCTTCTGAACAGTTTCTTCCCAGTACACAATATCTAGTGTAGGTTTTGGATCATATTTTCTTGTTCTGTTCCTCATACTAGTGAGACAATAAGATGTTTACACATATGGCTCTGATTTATTTCACTTATGAGTATGGTCTTGGGTTCCACCCATTTATCTATAAAAGTTTCTAGTTTATCCTTCTTTATGGCTGAGTAATATTCTAGTATATTAAAAAAACATATCTTTTTTATCCATTCTTCTGTTGATGGGCATCTAGGTTATTTCCAAGATTTACCTATTACAAATTGAGCTGCTTTAAACATGAATGTACATATACTGCTGTGGTATGATGTTTTTAATTGTTCTGTGAAGATACCCAGAAAGGAATAGCTGGTTGAAGAGGACCTCGAATCTAGTTTTGTGAGGACTCTCCACACTGATTTCCACAGTGGTTGCACCCATCTACACTTCCGCCAACAGTGGAGAAGGGTTCCTGTTTCCCCACAGCTGCACCAGCATGTTTGTTTTGATAGCCATTCTTTCTGGGGTGAAATGGAAGCACAGTGTTGTTTGAATTTGCATATCTCAAATGACCAATGCTGTTGAACACTTTTTCATATATTTATTTGCCATATTTCTTCATCTGAGAAGTGTGTATTCATCTCAGATGCCCCATTTTAGATTGGGTCTTTGAATTTGGGGGGTCTGATTTTTTTTCAATTCTATATGTTCTAGATATAAGTCCTTTGTCTGTGGGACAACTGGCTATAATATTTTCCCACTCTATGGACTGTCTTTTCCCTCTGTTGGTGATTTCTTTTGTTGTGCAAAAGCTTTTTAATAAGGTGAGATCTCACTTGTTGATTCTTTGTAATATTTCCCTTGCAGTCTGGGTTTTATTCATGAAGTCTCTGCCTACACCTATGTATTCGAGATCTCTGCCTATTTTCTCTTCCAGTAAATTGAATGTTGCTATTCTAATATCTGGATCTTTGATCCACTTTGACTTTAGTTTAGTGCATGATGATAGACATGGGTCTAGCTTTGGTCTTCACCCTGTGGAGATCCAGTTTTTCCAGCACCATTTATTAAAGGACTATCTTTCTTCTGGTGAATATGTTTGGCTCCTTTGTCAAAGATAAGGTGCCTGAGTGTAGTTGGGGATGCATTTGCATCTTCTAATCTGTTCCACTGATCCTCAGGGTTTTTTTTTTTCTTTGCCAACACCTTGCTAATTTTATCATAGTAGCTTTGCAGTATAAAACCAGCAGTTAATATCATATTAAATGGTCAGAAACTGAAAGCTTTCATTCTAAAATCAGAAACAAGACAAGGATGTCCACTATCACCACTCCTATTCAATATAGTTCTGGAAACATTAGCCAGACCAATTAGACAATAGAAAACAACAGAAGGACTAAACATAAGCAAGGAAGAAGTTCAATTATTATTATTTGCAGATGACATGATATTCTACATAGAAGACCCCAAAAACTCCACCAAAAAACTTGTAGATTTAATATCCAAACTCAGCAGAGTAGCAGGATACAAAGCCAAAACTCAAAAGTCAATAGCATTCCTACACACAAGCAACAAACTCACAGGAAGAGACATTAGGGAAAGCACGTCCTCCACAATAACACCAAAGCATGAAATACTTATGAATCAATCTAACAAAGGATGTAAAAGACCTGTACAGTACAAATTACAGTACCCTGAAAAAGGAGACTGAAGAGGATATCAGAAAATGGAGAGATATCCCTTGCTCTTGGATAGGAAGAACCAACATAGTGAAAAAGGTCAAACTCCCAAAACTATTATACAGATTTAATGCAATCCCAATCAAAATACCACTAGCACAGATCTAGAAGAAACATTCTTAAAATTCATTTAGAACCAGAAAAGACCTAGAGTAGCAAAGGTAATTCTGGGTAACAAAGGCAAGTCAAAGGGCATCACAATCCCAGTGGCTGAATTCTAAGACAAAAACTTATTATTCAATTTAAAAATAAAACTACAAGTCCCTAAAATAGAAATTCAAACTTTTTAATCTAAGCGGAAACTTTACAAATGATTTCAATATCATTTAGATGTGTATAACTCCAGAAAGTAAACTTTTCTACACAAATTATGCTTGCTAACTTACTTTAAATCTTCAGATACAGAAAATATGGGTAGAAGATTATTTAACATTACAGAAATCCTGCCAAAAAGGTTGATACTGATGCTTCCTAGGTGTTGAGTCATTTATTTATATTTGCTTAAAATGTAAAAAAAAACAACATTCATTTACATGATATTCCACACATATTTCAGAGGATTTTAAAGGAATAAATATTACTGTTCAAGCCCAAAGAAATTATGTATCAATTCATATGTGTAATTTTAAAAATAATACCCAAGCAGATCATGTCTGTTTAACTCTTTATCTTGTCTCTTCTTGTCACTTAACAAAGGAAATCAGATCATTTTTCCTTTATTTCAGTGAGAACACATGTTTGTACTAGACTCAGATAGTTTTCCTATATTAAGCAACTTGAAAAATGCTTAACAGAAAGATTTTAAAATATTCTAAGAAATTTATTCAGTTGAAATCATTTCACACTGTTTGTCACACCTGGTTTTTATATTTCTCTTAAAATTAGAATAAAATGGCCAAAAGCATTTGTAGTTTTCTCCTAATAATGAAAATGAGTCCATTTAACAGGGATACATTTAAATAACAAAGTTTTATTTATGTAAAGAATAAAGAAATTGAAAGAAAATTTGAGCATTTATCTTTGAAGTTTCTATGAATATAAACAAACAAAAATGTTAAAGACAGAGATCATCCATGGAAAATTACTTTTTCGAGGTGATATAAAATAAAACTAAGCTTTTATTTTATTTTTTAGGCAACAGATTACATTATTCTCAAAACCCCATAATTATCCTGTATTGTCTTATTATCTAAAATGTTACACAGTTTTTGCAAAGATGGACAATTTTAGAAAGAATTTTTCATCACTTGCATATTTCAGAATGCCACATGGATAAAGACTTTATGGAGACTTTGATCTTGAGTGAAGCATTTATAAAATACAAATGCAAAGATAAACACAAGTCTTTCTCTCTATATTTCTCTTACATACCAAAGAAAGGACTAATTCTAAATCACTAATAACCACTTCTGTCAAAATATCACTCAAATGTATTTATTCAAAATTCCAAAGAGAAATTTTAAAGCTCTTTTTTTCTTGGCTATTCAGTATAAAATAAATTTAACACGCCAT